TCTGGCTGTCCGCATGGGCTCATCAGTAACTTTTTTCCATATAGATATGCCCAAGATAACAAAAAGGAAGGGGACAAAGAAGGAATTTATTGGCTGGAGAAACAGAAAATGAAATGTCAAGCTATGCAAAAGTCTGTGAACAGCCGAGCAAAAGCACTGGATCCTCATAAAAGTCTGGAGGAAACACAAAAGGACAAGTCAAAACAGAATAGGTCAGTATCCTACTCTGCACAAAAATAACTGTTTGCTCTTGATGAAGATCATCAGATAATTCTTTAGGACAGATTAGGTCTAAAAACATTCCTAGCCTAACCTTTTTTGGCTATTGTATCCATTCCACATTCATTTGGATATCTTGACAATTCCACACTTCTCCTTCCATACAGAACCGTTTCCTTTAATGTTTGTAGAAACTAATTTGTACAAGCCAGTCAACTGTAATGTGTAGTTTGGTAAAGAACACATAAGAGACAAGTTTTTCTAAAAATGTGAACACAGTTTCTTGCTTGCAGTCTAGAAGAGCTTTGCTAATAGGTCCATAACTTGTCAGCAATAGGGTTTTTTTTCCCAGCATTCAGAATCAAGAGAATTACCAAAGTGATTTAAAGAATGGAACACTCACTGAGAATTCATCATTCCTGATCAGCTACAGTCAGAGGTAACCTATAGTAGACAGGCAATTTTTCCATTTCAGGCAAAATATGCAAGACAGAACAAAAGAATACAGAAAGGAGCTGGAAGAAATTAAGCTGCGAGTCAAGAGCAGACCATTCCTTTTTGAACAGGTCACCAAGGTAACTGATCAAAGTCCCAGAGTGTTTCTGGGTAATAGGATAAATTGTCTTTCACTTAAGACAGGCATTAAGAAATCTAGTCTCAAATTAATTAATGGATGAGAAGGTACAGTCTCATAGTCTCTGGGCTGCACTCCAAATAACACAAGGAAAAGCCACCAAAGAATGCTTTAAATTCCTTCCTATTTTTTTCCCTGAAAAAACATTCAGGCTTATTTCTAGGAGCTTGCCAGTTCCTATTATGTATTGTAATCACAGTATATTTTCTGATCAAAATCAAGGCCTCATCCCACCAGAAATTAAATAAATACCTATTCTGCACCTGAATACCATAGACTACAGTTTGGAGATGCAAAATTTTTTCTTAAAACCCTCTCCAGGTTAAGCACTTTTTCTTTGTATCTCTACTGCTACAGAAGAACATTAATGATGGTTATGTCGCTTTTATTACCTGTAGGCTTTGCAATCTGGGGCTGCATTCAGCACATCTCAACCATCACACAGTACCAGCTGCAAATCTCTATTGCACCTGAGGTGTAGATACAGTGTGTACTGTAACTTTTTCCCTGGGTTTTCTCTTTCATTTCCTCGCAGGAACTGCAGCTGGTTAGAGACAGTGACAATACACTGACAATATGCTGATTTAAAATTTCTCAAGAAAGTACCCTCCTGGATCAGGCTTTCTGTTCTGCTAATGGAGGCAGAGAACACACATGTGTGATAAATACTGGTAATATTTCCGTGTACCAGATTGTAAGAATTCACCATTATCAATAGTGTTTACTCATGTTCATACTAGGTATCTATCCTTCCATATAGAACACCTTAATCTTTAGGGACTGGCCAGTCCCTCTGGAAAACCCTAATCTCAGACTACATTAATTTGCAAGGTTCATTTGGAAGCAATGAGGATATAGGACCCAAGATGGTTGTCTTTCACTTGAGCTGATATGAAGCTATTTCACAGGCATTCTCCATGTATTAACTTCCCTGTTGTTAGTTCTTATCACTTACAAGCAAATGTGCTTACAGGATTTCACATAACTTGGGTTTTGCACATGTTTTTGATTTGAGTGTCAGAGTTAGGACTCAGACACAAGTATACCAGTCTGGTAAGAATGGAATGTGGTAGAATGAGGAGAACAGAAGAAGAAAAAAAAAAGAACTGAAGCAGGAAAATGCGAGCTCTGGCTTTGGGAGATGTGAGACATTGTCCTAGTGTTCAGTTTTGGTACTGTACTTTATGGATTACAAAAATTTTGGACAGGAGGTTGTGTTGTCCTCTTGTCCCCTTTAGGAGCATCAGATGTACATTTCAAAACCAGCTGACTGTTATGGGGAATCCCCAGTTCTGTGCATTTACTGTTTAAGTTTCGATTTCACAGCATGATGCTCGTCAAGGAGCAGAGCGTCGCTACAGACGCACCCTCCAGCAGGTTGGCCTCAGTGAAGAATTTGTAAGGAAAAAAGGGAAAGATGCCACTGACTTGCTGGAAGAAGAATCTGATGTTCACAGGTAATAAAAACAATGTAGTACAGCTCTTTTGTCTGTGACTAAAAATATTTTCCTTGTTCATGAATGCATTCCGGTTTCTATAATGTAATGTAGGAAAAATTAAATTAACTTCACTGCTCTTATTAAGCATTGTGGCTCCTCTCTCTGAGTTCCTGTGACTGCACCCTATTTCATATGCACGGTGCCAAGCATTTCTGGTATTAGCCCATCACTGTTTCTGCAGGCTGCCCGAGCCTCGGGGTGAAAAGGATGACTGTACTGAACAGGAAGGAGTACCTCAGGAGGAACTGAGCGCAAAGGGAGTGGCAACGTGAAAGCCTGCAGAAGAATCCAGCTGTCAGTTCTTGACTTCTTTTGTTCAAGATTCTCCTGGTTAATCCTCAGGAGCTTAATAGTTTAAGCTGACACCTAAGAATTGCTGTGGGGTGAGACGGGAGAATTTAGTAAAGGGAAAAAATCAACTGTTGTTTAGAGCACGTCTTGTTCAGCCCAGCAAACCCTGCAGCCTCCCTTAGTCTTCAAAAGTGTCCCTTGAGTGAGCTCTTTCCCTTTAATGGGCAACAAAACAATTTAGAGAGGTTGAAGCACTATCTTTGGATAAAAGTAGATATGAAAAATGGAAGAGGTGCATCCTCTAGTGTCAGCTCCTTGCATTCATGCCACAGAAGCACACAGGAAAGGGAGAATGCCTTCTACTGTACTAAACCTTTTTTTAGACACATCTGTGGTAGAATGCTTTCAAACAAGGTACTTCTACAAAAACAAATATCAGGATTTGACCCACCTTGGGAGAAGACTCAAAGGGAAGTCTTTCTCTGGTGTTAATTCTTCATTCACCTACTACCAGCTTGGCTTCTTCCCCCCATTAGTAAGAAGCAATAGTCTTCCTATATTAAAAAATCTCCCATGTTTCATGATTTGAAAGTGTTTCAACATCTTTCCAATTTAGGTCATTAATTTGGCCCAAAAAACAACCAAAGTTATGAAGGTTGTAATTAAACACTTTGAATGCATCACTTTGAATTATTGTTGTCCTAATTGTATGATTACTGTGATATCAAAGATAGATTTTGGAGGAAAAAAGATTAGGTGTTGCCTGCCAGGAGGTTGCACTCAAATGCCTGGTGCATCTTGAAAGGCATAATTCACACTTTAGTGATCTCCCTTTGCCTGACACTAATAACCATTTCAAAAATAAAAGTCCTTGCCACCTGAAATGTTTTCTGAGAATTTTGCACTTTGACATTAAAATATTTTCAAATAGATATAATGTTTCTGTATTCTCAATTTTCCTGATCAGTCATCTTTTCCTCACTTACTTAAATACAAGATGTATCTCTTTTTGTCACCTCAGTCCTTTTTCCTTACATTGTAATGACACAGCCTTATCATCAAGTCAGAAATACAGTACCTGTCAGAGCTACCAGATTAGACAAAGATATAAAACTGAAATAATGACATTTTTAATCATAACAAATTACTAAATCCAAGGATTTGAGGTCCAGGGGTTTCACACTGCTATGTTACAGGCTAAATGCACCAAACTGCAACATCCTCATTAGTGACTCAGTCTCCACACTGAGAACAGGCTTAAACTCCTTGGAGGGTTCCAGAAAGGCTGTTACCAGTGTACCAGTTCCTACACAGGTTAAATTGTGTAGGATATCCAGAGGCTGTTCCACAGTGACCATATTGTCACTGTGCCTCGCTACATTGAAAGAGTAAGGAAAGAAGATTACTTCCATGCTCTAAGTCTGTGGTTTAAAGCCTCTTATGGATATATTTGGAGCAGTGGGACTGAAATTTTAATACATGCATTTTAAAGGGTATTTACTAAAATTGTTTGCTGAGTTCCATAATAAGTTAATGGTGCTGAAAACAAGAAATTTCCAAGTATGTGAAGTGAAAAGGGAAACCCTAAGAAAGGAGGAACAAAAGTTTAAATTATTATGCCATATCCTTTTAACAAATACTAAGGTGACATGCATGAATATAATAACAAATAAATTAAAGCTTTCATGTTGGTCCCTAAACTGAAATTGCAGAAATGTGATGAAAGTAAAAGCATCAAACTACGTAACTGAAACTCACATCTCTCTTGCTAAACAAAGTTTTGTTCTGAAAGGAGGATTACATTTCTGTAATTCTAAAAGAGAGCTGTAGTCTCTTAATATGTCTCAAAAATTGTATGGAAATAAAGAGTTTCAACTATGGTTCTGGATTTTTGCATTTTATGAAAATATTTGATTATATTCAGTTACAAGATTTACAGCCTGTTCAGCTAACCTACAAAAATACTGTTCAAAAGAAGACATCTCACTGGAGTATCTCCCATCCACTGCTGAGATGGCAGCCAAACTGCATCAGACTTTGATTTCCAGGTACCTGGTGGAGCTTCTGCAGGAACCTCCAGGTTACAATACCTATAACCAGCAGCAGCACTAACTTTCCATTCAGCTAGGGAGCAATATAAACTCTAGGTATTCCCTTTGCATAGAAGCTATTACAGATACACAGTACCTTAGCAAAACTTTCCATTCTCAGTAATGCCAGTTGTGAAGGCTCTTTAAGGTAAGAAAATATTCAGAACACCATGTGGAAGACTCATTTAAAGAGCTTGATATACCAAAAACATTTTGGAGAAAAATGATTGGGAAAAGCAGGAACAGAACACAGCAAATGTAACCAAATGATATCAAGTAGTACATTTATTTCATATAGTAAGTCAGCTTCTGACAGTGAGATGTATTAGAATATAGTCTCTGAAGGTAAAGGGTGGAAGGAAGGCCTGTTGCTCAAGATACTGAATATTTGAACAGTGCCTAGCACAATGAGGTCCTGGTCCTTAGCTGGGGCTCCTAGGTGCTCCAGCAAAACAAACACTTTAGGCTTTAGGAGATGGACTGCATAAGCAGTTTTGAAATGGCGTTCCACAACATGGGCTAAGTGACACCTAAGCAGACTTCACCCTTCAAGCTCTGCAAGAGAGAAACTTGGTCCAGCAGATCTTCTCCAACTCCAGTTTTAGGATTCATCCACTATCTACCCACCCCTCTGTGCACAGTTAAAGCAATGTTCATTCATCCCACTGCAATATGGTGAGCCTCAAGGAGGAATGATTGATCCCATCTCAGTCACCACATATAAGAGGGCGGAAAAAAGAGCAGCTGGTCTCACCCTCTTCTACTCCAATAATTGATTCAGTGTCTGGCAGGTGCAGAGACTCAACACCAAGGCTGGGCTGAGAGTTCATGGAGATGAGATTCTTACTATGCACTGTTGATTCTTCCAGCAAACTGCTGCCCATCAGTGACTCTATTATGAAAAAAAAGGGGAAAAGAATTCCCATGATGCAATTACACTGCAATATAAGATACAATTCTATCCTACAATCCTATCCCTGCCCCACTTCAAGTCATACTGAATTCTTCCCTCGACACCTACTTTATCCATTCCTACTCTTTGGGCAGCCAGTGCTCCAGTGGATGGAAAATACTATGTTTATTGTTTTGAACCTTACTATGGTGGGATCTTATGCAGGATTGGCTTTCTCTTTAAAATTCACATTGTGTAAAAATGCAGGCTGCTTGCAACAAGAAAACATAACCAACGGAAAAAATCCACATAAAAAACCCCAACTAGATTCATATTGATTTTGAAAACAATAATCATATCTACCCCTTGACCACCACACAAAAATACACCTTTGTCTTCTGTCCTAGAAAAGGGAAGGGTAAGCAGTCCTTATCTCCAAGAGGAACAGACTTTTGTTTCTTACTGGCTTGTGGTCTCATATTATCAGGACAGACATCTTTTCTTTGACCATCCACTATTTTTTTTCCTGCGCTTTTCCCCCAGAGTGCCTGTGGTCCCTTCCTTACCTGGCTGTTCTCGCTCCCTGCTGCCAGCTGTTCCAATTCGGGAGTGGTGTTTCCTCATATGCACATTTCTGCTACCACTCTGGGAAAATGTCTTCCCACAAATTTGGCACTGATGGGGCTTCACTCCTTGGAGTCAAAGGGGGAAGAAATATCCCAAGAATTACCAAACTGGGAGAAGAGACCTCATCAACTAAGAAACTAATAACAGTTTTGAAATGGCTGTTAATACCACTGCTGGTAATTTATCAGTAAAAACCAAATGAGACATATTCCCATCTCCTGGAGGGCCATAAGCTTCTAGAACAGAAGAGGTTTAGATATCAGTAATGGCAGTTGTTGAATAACTCAAGTCTGAAGAGTAACAAAGTCTTCAAGTCAGATTGATGAGAGGGAACAAGTTATTTGAAATCATTTACTTGTTGATATGGAAGTACTTGATGTCCCACATATAGAATAAAATGACCAGAGGCAAGGAAGCTGTCTCCTGCCATCACACAATGAATTGCAGCATCTGGTTTACATTACTGAGCAGAGACTTGATGATGACTTGTCACTGTGAAAGGATTTTCATTTTACAGAGCAGTTCATCATTTTCACAGTACAAGCATGCCGTCCATACTTCTTGGCTCAATGGCATGGAAGCCAAGGACACAGGACAGAAAAAGCATGGAGAGCTCAATCCCAAATGTTGTTACTTCAATAATATCTCCCATTCACCAAACATACAATTTTGATTGTGTGCTGATGATATATAAGATAGAGCAATCAAAACAGAAGGCAGAAGATTTGAAACACTTGCGAAATACATTTCCACCTAAAACTTTGTCCAATTAAAAGTATGTAGTAGGAAAAAATAACAGAAAACCCTACCAATGGCGGAAACCCACTTGAAAGATTTCAGATTCAAATGGCTGTAGTTAATACACAGAGATGCTAGAGTCTCTCTTTTAAATAACCAAATGGCAGCCATGAAAAAGATATTCAACTTCATGACATTTTAGAAACAAGTTGTAAAAAAAATTTTTAATGCAATTTCAGTTTAGAAATAGACACAAACTAAAAAATTAAAGTGTACGGGCTACAGGCACCACAAAGGAAAGTCAAAAAACACTATGACCAGAAGCTCTGTAGAAACCAGGATTTTTCTTAAGGAAATCAAATCAAAGTCCTACAATAAAGTCTTTTTTCAGACAGATCTCAGAATGTCAGATGAAGACTCTTACCTGAGTGGACAACCAAATGTTTCCGAAGACTGGAATATTCAGCAAAGGAGCGACCACATCCCTGTGCCTGACACAGAAAGGGTTTTTCCCCTACAAGGGAAAAGTACGTTCTTAGATTTTGGGATCACAACTTAATCTGGTTGCCCAAGTCCCTGAGAACAGCCTGGACATCTCTACTCCGTTCTCCCATTTGGCCTTATGTATATCAGAGTTCCATGGGAATTGCACATCCTTCCTAAGCTTCCTAAGGCTTTTGCAGCATTCTCTTACCAGAAGAAACAGAGGTATTATTTTAAAATACTCTTAGACCATCCTTCACTGAAACTGAAGCAAGGGACCACTGTTTATAGATAACCTTCCAAGTATATAAATAATAATATAGTAATCTAAAACTACTTGATCTATGATGTATCTTCTATTTGCAGTTTTCAACAACCAGCTCTCTGTTCCACACACTCACAGAGTCCTGCTCCCTTTCTGCCTTTCAGTGCCGAAAATCCCATTAACTGTATTTCCCTTCATATCAGATTCTATACTTTATTTCAGATCAGGCTGAACTTGCCAAAATCCTGTGAGAGACGTGTCAGTCATTTATATCTATGTGAGGAGGAACTGTAATTCAAGGCACAAATTGTTCTCATGGGCTGAAGTTTATATCCCAGCTATTTTTGATTTATTTAAATTATGATAAATTGGGGGGGTTACTACATTAATGCAGTGCAATAAAATTAATCTGTTTTGAACACTCTCTTAATAAAGCTAGACATAACTTTTGCCTGCAACATCCCACTAAAGAACTCAATATACTATGTTTAACACTATGATTTCAAGTCTTTAACTGGACCCTTGTACAAGAGTTATAGCAAGACCACAGGAAGTTATTTTAACAATTTATTGTACAATATATAAGTAGTTCTTTCAGAGTAAACTTGTTTCTAAAGGTATTTCTACTGTGACTTTGCCTTTAGAACTCTTCTCCCTACAGCTCATTTATTAGCCTCTTATTTACAATAGCATTTGACAGCTGTAAGCAAAAAGGATCAACACAGCATGTTCCAATTGGTGTTACAAAGCTGAAATATGTAGCAGAGTCTCAAACACTGATTGTACTTTCAGGCTTGTTATGAATCTTTAAAAGTTTGGAAAAACTACCATTGACCTAAATAACAGCACACAGTTCCATCTGTAAGACACCCTAGAGCTATTTACACCTGCAATTTCATAACATCTTTGGTCTGATCAAATGCTTAATTCTACATTATCCATTTGTAGTTTAGAAAGTTACTATTTACTCCTCCAGAAGCCACTACTCTGCTGGTTGCAGAATGCTTTCTTATCAGGGAGGATTGTGCATGTATCAGCTGGGCCTATTAACTTAATCTGCACCTTGGCTGGGAGCTGTAAGTGAGAAAGAAAACTGCAAAAAATATAGCTGCTGTTACTACACATTCAAAATTGTATTATTGGTATACACCATTTTTAACTATATCCCAACATCTGCCCCCAAACCATGTGTTCCAGCTAGACTGCACATACTTTAAAATAGCACCATGTGCACCGACACACCACATACCATACGGTCGTGTTTAAGGAAGGCAGAAGGCACAAACAGCTGCTGGCGACCCACATAATCTGTAATTCCATTTCACCAGGGAAGTCTTGTTCTCTCACACTCGTCAAGGTTATTTTGAAATGTTAACCAACTGTAATACAATGCTTGCAAGGCCATCAGGGAATCTCTAACAATATTCCAAGAAGCCTGAACTGGGCCATTTGTTTGAGTGTTGTGATAACCCTGAGGCTTAAAAAACTAAACAAATAAAATCACCAGATTATTCACTATGAACTTTTCAGGTCCTTAATTAAATTGCTGGTCACTGTTATATTGCTGGTCATTTCAACAGTAACTTTTGTGCCTCTCTCAAACAACTTTCTAGTACAAAAACACCTAAAGCACTTTGGCTGCTATACCAACTTCTAAAAATACTGACAAGGCAGGATCATATTCTCCAGAGGAGCCATCATAAACAAACCATGTATAAAATACAGCACAATGAAACAAAGATTCTTGTTCTATTTACTATAAAAAGCTGAGCATTAATTGAGAGTATACAGGCTCCAGCATACAGTAACATCCCAAATTAGCATTGTGTAAACAGCAGTTTGCACACCATAATGCTGCCTTCCAATTAATGCTTTTTTCTGCTTTTCTTTGCTACTATATTTTTGCTACTCCTTCCACTGCATTCCTCATTTCCCTGTATGTCCCAAATGTTGTCATTCTACAAGCAGCATAGGTAACACAAGCTAGTCAGTCAGGCAGATGTCAGTACAGCTCCTACTATCTAAGCTATTGAGCCTCTCAGGAATTTCAAAGAACCTCTTTTCAAAACACAATTTCCTAAGTCATGTTCACTAACTACTCCCTTGGTAATGGTCTAGTTTCACACACCCCTCCCTCCATCACAAAACTGGAAGGGGATCTTCAGAGTATGCGTCTGAGCAGAATACAGCATCACCACACACTATTTGAAAGGTAAAGCCTGTGTGAAACTATAGAGGATAATAAAAGAGATTAGCACTTGATTTATCTGACCTACAGATCAAGGTGAATTGACAGAAAAGGGACATTAATGGAGGGCAGAGGTAAACAACATAATAATTTCAATAGTTTGATGATAGAGGAGGAAGTGGTTTATTCCTCAGGAAAGACCCCACCTCAGCAGACCACAAATAGGTGAGGTCTAAAACACACCAGTGTGAATTCGTAGGTGGTTCTTCAGATTTCCAGCTGTTGTGAACTGTTTACCACAGCCCAGTTCTGTGCACACAAAGGGTTTTTCACCATTGTGAGTTCTCATGTGCACCTTCAGCCTTTGCAAGACGTAGAAACTTTTTCCACAACCTTCTGCTGGGCAGGTGAAGGAGCGGTCGTTACTGCAAAGCAACAAAAAGCTGTTTCATTACCAGCTACTGCAATGCATTTTTTCATCAACACTTGGCTTCTTTCTTTTATTAAATACGAGTACCTGTTAAAATACAAAAATTCTAAACCAAAGATAGCAAACATACCTGCAACATTATCTAAATCTAATCCAAGTTTTTCAGCATAATTGATTTAAAGCACTCAACAGACCTAATATTTACATGAATAATGCCAGGTTTTCACAGCTTGTTAATGTCAAAACCTAACATTATGTCAAATACAGAGTGCATTTTTTCAAGGTCATAACAACAAATAGCTTCATTCTGCTCACCGGTGTGTTTTCAGATGATACTTGAAGTGAGCTGGCCATACAAATGTCCGATCACAGCCCTCAACTGTGCACTTCAGCTTTCTTTCCACACGAGATAAATGAGGAATAGGGCTTGAATCTTTTGGCTGCCCATCTCCTGTGCAAAGATGAACATTTTCCCCTGGAAAAAAAAAAGCCCACCAAAATCTAAAAAATATACAGATTACTATAATATGTCAAATTTAATAGAAAAACCAGCATCATATATAATACAGGATTGTAAATCAGGTATGTGTCTGGCTACTAACTGTTTAGCATGTCCTACATGCTGCTGTCTCGCCTATAACAGGGATCAAACACAGACTTGCAAACCCTACCAGGCCCATAAACTATTCCCAACAAGCTATCTGGATCAAATCAGCTGCTACCAAATAAGGCTTATCACAAAAAGAATAGAAAGCCAATGCACCAAAAATTGTAAAAATGGTCTCTATATCAATATCAAACAACCAATTTTAACTAGCAGCCAACTTTCACCTATTAGCTAAGCTGCTTTTTAAAACACCTTAGCTAAAATAAGAGATACTGCATTTGCATGCAATTATTTATTAAAATAATTAACTCAAAAAACATGTGAATAATTCAATTATGAATTCTCCAGAAAACTGATCTCCAAACTCAGTGGAGCTAAAAAGAAAGTATAATTTACAGTATGTATTAAAAATAGGCTCTTAAAAGTGAAAATGAAAGTTGAAAAACAAGCAGCTGCAGTCAGAAAGAAGATATTCTTTACACGTACTGGAGAACTAGTAGGCTACAATGAACAGATGGTTCCACTAGAGTTCATTCCCCAAGAAAAAAATGAGAAGCCTATTTATAATGATGAAAAAAGCCTAATTGTTCTGTATAATTCTGTCACTAATGATTTGAAGATGTCATAACTGATTCAAAGCAAGAGAGAATTAAAGAGAGGAATAAACAATGTGAAACTAGGGTTCTTGTATGGAACATTCACATTTGAGACACAATCTGTGGATGTCCTACCATTATTGCTTGCTTTGGCATTCTTTGCGAGCTGTGCCCTAGTGGCAGCAATTAAACTGTCATGGGCCAATTCTTGCACTCGTAGGAACCATGGGGTACTGCTGTCTGTGCTATCATGGGAGAGAAAGTCATTGCCAGAATCTTCTGCTTCATCTTGAACAAACACCAAGTGCTCTGCGGGAGACCCCAGCCCTAGAAAAGAAGACAAATTTGTGAAACAATAGTGTAACAGAGGGAAATGTCTTTTGTTTCTCAGAGATTAGTGTTCATAGCATGGATGAAATAGCTGCCCTGAAAAAGTCTCCACTGACCTCTACTTTGTAGAAAGATGTTGATGACTAAATGCTCCTAAAATATCCAATAATGCCCAGCAAATTTCATGATCTTTCCTCTTCATAAGCAGCAGGGACAGAGCTGTACTTGTATCTCCTGCATTCTGCTGAGACATATCCAGACAGATGACAAACAGAAGGACAATTACCTGCTCTTGTTAGGTTGAGAAGAATGAATGAAGTGCTGTCACTGGGCTGGAAGTCTTGCAATAAACTAGAAGTTTCTGGAGTTGACAGAAGTTCAGATGGTTTCTGTACATTCTGTGCCCTTGTTTCCTCTCCATCAGGGCCTACATTTACCTGGAGACTTCTCAAGACAGCAGATGAAGAAACATCTTTGGAAGAATTAGTGTGACTTGGAGAAGTGAGATCTCTTTCATCATCTAATGAGGAAAGTGAAACCAGAGTAAATAAAAGTATAAATACACTGTGACTAAAGGACTCCTATTAAATTATTTTTCTAAGAAAAAAACCCCAGAACTTGGGAGAGAAGGGAAGAGGAAGTTTCTAACTAGTCAGACTTCACTATTAAATGAGAAGATTCAGTCACTCTGCCAAACTTGTTCCTCCATCCCTGGAATGTCTTAGCAGCAAGAGACAGCGGGGGCCAGAGGGGTGAAGTAAAGACAGCTGTATGAAGGGCAGTGTCACAAAGATCTGCCACATAGATTGTACCTGGCAACATGAGTCTGTTGCATTCTGAGGTCTCAGTAACAGGAAGCAGAGAGAGACAGGTGATGTCTTTTGGTTCTGATTCCACCAGTCCTTGTCCCAGTGGAATAGAAGTATTTTGGACAAACTGAACCAGCAGCTGAAAAAACATACTGAAGATTAGGTCAAGAGCAGCACAAATCATGTAAAAAGTACTAAATCCAGTCAATCCAGTAGTTCCTACTGTCTTGTAAGAGACATTGAATATAATACCATGAATACACACAGATATAAATAGAAACTTTTCAATTTACATTAAAGCAAGGAAAGAATTGTTTGTCATCCCTGAAATACCTACAAACTTCTCATTCAACATATAATAAACAGCTCTGGATCATTGCAAAGTAAGTCTAGTTAGGCTATATTTCTTTTTAATTAACATTTTACCACTTGATACTTTATTATGGTCTAATATTTCAAGGTAATGTTCTCCACACTCAGCCTTTGATACAGGTATTTTTTTAATCATTGTCTTTAAATATTTAACTGAAAGCTGGCCTTTTCTAAATTAACAAAAAAGCAATCAGAAGACTAGTTACAAAGATGTCTATTACATGGCTATTCAAAAGCAGATAACAATTAGAGAAACACTGTTGGGATAACAAGAGGAAGAACACAGACAGCCTTACCCATCCAAATCAACTACTCCTAAAACCATCAAAGATGGACAACCAACCCACCCACTAAGGGGATTAACAGAAGAAACCCTCTCCAAATTACTACACAAAACAAGGGGGACTATTGCATAAAGAGGTACAGAACTTAAACTGAGATGCATTCCCTGGGGAGGAATTTGGGACTGGTCAAAAGATTTTGAGGGATTTGTACAGGACTTATTAGGCATTGTTTAAGGGAAAGGCCAAAGGCAGGAAAAGGAAAAGATCAAGATGGATCAGGGCAGAACAAACATAAGAAAATGGAGAGGGGAGAATAAAAGGGGCCCATTGCACATAAGCAGGAAGTTTGTCAATTCAGTTGTCTGGCACAGCCTAACTCTTACACTGCATCCTGTCTTCTTATTAAACTCCATTCTTACCTGCTTCCTGTGTGGTCCTGCTCTCTAGCGGCACACACCAATTTCTAGTGCGCGTCATATGCTAATGAACCCCAAGCCAGCCTAGTTAGCAAGTGAAATGAGAAGTGTGGGGATAGATCCCAAAGAAATCCATGAAGGCTATCCTTAGGCAGCAGCCCTTGAACACAGACCCAGGTACTTTGTGCTGCCCATGTTTATGAGGATAAAGCTACAAGCACTCAGCCTGTGTTCATTTTGATTTAACAAAGGAAGTACTGCTGGGAGTTAGGAGATAACACAGTCCAACTTTTGCAGTGGACTGAACAAATTCTGAGAACTGCATGAGCTTTTTTAAACACGGTCTCCAATCCCTCCCCTGTAGGGATTTACACTTCAGAAGGACAGAAGGGGGCCAGTTGTAACACACCCAGACACATACTCCACATTTCAGTGAAAATACTGCTCAAACCCCGCATGTAGGATCTATTTGTTTGCCTTTAAGTTCTGTCAAACAAATTAACTCATATACTCACAATCTATGGGGTTTTTTAAAACAATGAATGAAGAAATATGGACAATAACAATACACTAAAAAAGTTAAAAGTTAAAAAAGTACCTCAAGTTCCTTATCTCTAGGAAACTCCTTGACAAAAATCCTGCATTCTGCTGATTATGCTGCTGTCTAGTGAACAACTGTATGTAGCAAACTTTTATCTTTGGCATTTAGAAGGAAATTGTACAAGACAGTTATTCAAAAGCTACTACTCTCATTGTGACACATTTCAACATGCAGTCACAGAGAGCCCAGATGGACTTCTCTGTGCAGTGAGATTAGCACATCAGTGTCAAAAGAAAAAGACTAAAAAATCCTGATGTGCCTATTGTATATTTGTGGTTAAAACTCAACATTCACAGATAATTTGATTCTTATTTTGTATATTGTGATTGTCTTAGTACTTCTTTTTCAGAACTATTGGCATCTAATACAAAATTATTCCTGTGGCAGACAGCAGCTTTTTGAGCCTCTCTTAGATCAAGACAGTCTGCTAAATCAAAGAAACTATAAAGAAAACTTAGTATTTTGTGCTCTGATTTCTCTATGCTCATTTCCTCTCACAAAAACACCAGAAATACTGATGCTTTCTCAAACACTTTTACCACAAAGAGCTGTTGCTGTAGGAACCATGAAGTTTTAACAGCCCTGATTGGCCTGCCTGGAACCCGCACCCTCCCTGGAACTTCTCTCTACGGGCTCCTTTTAAGCTCAGCCTGGGCCAGTCATTCCCTTCCTGAGCTGTGCTGTATGTTTACCTGTCTCAAGCCCTGTCTACTGGATGAACCTCAGATTTTTACTGCATCTGTGTCTCCAGTCCCATCTTCTGCTGCTCCTGCTGGACTCTGGATAGACCCTGGACTGGTTCACCACCTTGCCTTATCTAGGGCTGAGGGCTGTGGATTCCAGCACCTGTCTCTGCCCTCCATGCTCAGGTATTGCAGTATTGTGCCCTGGTCTGTGAGGGCAGTGCCTGAGCTGGGATCACCCTTGACTCCCTGCTCATCCTCCCTTAGGAGCAGGCTGTCATCACTGACAATTGTGAAGCTACAAATTAAGTCCTGCAGTCATTCAGATGGCAATGTGCCATTTGAACTAGGCCACAAGCCAGATGGCAGTTTGAAAGGTTAGAACTGTTTCATCTTAGACATAAGATTATCCAGAGGACCTAGCAAGAAGATGAATCTATTTTTATGTTGTCAATAAAATACCTAGGCAATAACAGACAGTCCCCCCGCCGCCCCCCCTCCCAGGGCCATGCATTCTAATTTAGGATTAAAAAATAGGAGAAAGAGAAGTAAAAAGAGAGTTAGGAATAATGCACAAGGCAACCAGAAAAAAGAAGTAGAGACTAAAAACTGTGAGCAATAAGATAGATTTAAATTATTGGATTGTCTTTTATGTTGATGAGCCCTGCTGCTTCTTACTCCACCATGAAACACCTGTTTTATGGAGTTACCTATTCTTATACAAAAAAGACCTAAATGAAACTTGCCTCCTACAAGAAGAAAGCTTTGCTTCAAACCTTCCACTTCAACATAGCAACATTAAGCCACCAGAGAAAAGCAAAATGCAGCAACCACAAACAGATGCTCAGAAGAAAGAAATTCCTTTTAATTTGCTTTGTAAAGTAATGACAAACTAGTACAGAGAATTATGAGAGGGCAAAAAATGCAGAAGGAAACAAACTGACATGAATCATGCCCATTATTAAAGTGTGGAATAAAAAAACCTCAACCCTTCACATAAACTAAAGCAAACCAATCATCAACTCAAATAATTCAGACAAAATAAAAAGTTTTCACGTTAGTTTTATCTTGACAGATTTTTCCTAAACCTTCCTGTTCAAAATCATTGAATACCTTTGTGGACAACTACAGCAACTGGAATACAGGAAAAAACTCATTACAAACATTGTGTCATGCTCTCTTAAGCTTCTTGCAATATGGTTTTGCAGCTGAAAGTAAATAGGATATTATAAGGGTAATTGGCTATTCAGCATAGTAATCTAGGAACAGGACAGGTGATAAATTAAATCCACAGATACACAAACACTAACAAACTCTAGCAAACTGCAGATAAGAGAGAGTAAAAATACCCAGAACTCGTGGGACACTGATGGATGGGCCAGTACAGGAATAACTTGAGGGTGACCTTGAAAAAAATTCAACCAGAAACTTTGTAAGGAATAGGAACAATGCTGTCTTGGGTACCAGAAGCCATATTTCATTGGCAAGAGCAAATTTCCTATGAGATATGGGGGAAATTTTGGGAGTGGGTAAAACATATCAAGGTATTTTGAGCGGAGACTGTGGGACTGTGAAAAACTTATGGATGTTAGGGGAAGGACCAAAGGCAAGGAAATGGAGGGCTCAAGGTAGATCGGAGAGAAACAACTACTGGGAACAGAAAGGGGATTGGGGATAATACTGGTTGACCACATTAGCAGGCTGCAGGTTGCTGCTCTGCATCACCACTGGGGTCTATCTCATCCTCTCTAATGCTTTCTACTCCTAAACGACTTCTGAGTACATTCATTTGATTAAATTCACTTTGGCATAGCCTGTGAAATAGAGAAAAACACAATCTGGAAACCCAAGATCCTGGCCAGAGGCTGAATTAAAAAGCCCAAGGCCTGGAGATGGATACTGGAAGGACTCAAGGTTTGGCAAAGAGTGGACAGATGCATGACCACAAGCATGCATGTCAGCCAAGGGAGGACACGTGTGATATGCTAGTAAATGTCAAGCCTTTTTACCTGATAAGTAGGGACAGAATTAGGCCATTTGTGGCCTTTCTTTTCCATGGGAATTCCATTTGTGTTTGGGTGTGCTGGTAAAAGCCCTATCCTGCCATGCAGCCATAATGTCTGTATTCTCTCTGTGTGCACAGGCACATTTTTGCAGTTCAGGCCCAGGTGCACTTCTGTGTGCACCTGGGAACAGTCTGGTGGTCTCATGTCTGAAAGACCAGGAAGGCAGGAACCTCCTATATGATACAGTCTGACAGAGCCCATAACCAAATCACATCTAGCATCACAAACAGGCCCCAAATGGGCTGTAAATACTCCTGAGATGGTGAATGTAGAATCCCTACCCAGGGAGGAGACTGATCCACTATGACCAAAGTGCTAGAATTTGTAAGCAAAGCAGATAGGTCATCTTGGGACACCAGAACAGGTATAGTTAGGGAAACTGAAGGTACGGAATATTAACAGACCACCAAAGGAACAATAAGAGGTGTGAGGTGGCTTTACTCTATAGCTAAGACATTCCTTGGAATTTGAAACAAATTTTAGTATTGCAAAAGGACATCCTTGACTTAAAGAGATTGAAACTTTATGGGACAGACATGAATCATATGGAGAGAATCTATAATCCTTGGAGGGCAAAGTTCAGCTGCATCTTGATATAAGGAATTTTATTTTTGCTCTGCCATATATAATATCATATATTCTTGAATATACCCTCCTTTAACTACTGGAATGCCACATAACTAAATAATACAGACAGTGAATGTATTAAAAAAAATGTAAAATATTTCTTGGCTCTTGACACTAAGCAAATACTTGTTATCCCTGCTGGTCAACACAAAATGGTTGGACAGGATTATGCCAGGGTCTATCACTACAAGCAATGCAGAATGCTTGTGTTACCAAGAGACTTAAATAATGTCCCTGACCTGAGAGGAAAAAAAACCCCACAACAAGCAACAACCAAAAAACTGTTTAAAGAACTGAGAACCTCTGCTATAAATCCTTAACAACAACAACAACAACAAAAAAAACAAAAAACCAAACAAAACCCCAAAAAACCCAAATCAAACCAAACAAACACCACAAAAAAACCAACCAACCAACAAAAGAAAAAAAAACACCAAAAACACCCCCCCCCCCAAAAAAAAAACACCCAAAAAACACCCAAAAAGAAAACAAAACCACAACCAACCAACCAACCCAACAAAACAACCAAACCAGAAACAAATGATGATATGGCCACCTGGGATGGATCACCTTAAGTTTGTCCCATAATAGATGATTCAAAAGCCAAGAAGTGTCAGGCAGCTGCTTTGGCAGAAGCAGGGATTGCTGGGAGGGACAGGGTAGGAAGGTTCTTCAGAACTTCAGATCTATCCTCCCACTAGACAGCTGGAGAGCTAGACTAGCTTCCCAGGGCAGCAGGGACCATGTCTTTAATCAAAACCATTCCCGTTCTAAATTCAACCAGTGAACCAAAACAAAATAAAGAGGTCAAAAGAAAACTTAGTGGAGGGGGAGGAGAAAGGAGGGGCTGAAGCTGAAGGGTGTGCAGGGTAGAAGGCTTGTTACCTAGAAACCGGGATGTCCTCCTCCCATACAGCCTCTGGGGAACTAATTAAATCACAAGTGTCTCTCCTTGTGCAGCACTGAGGAGGAAAGAAAGGAGAGGCCAAAGTACCTCTCTCCACCCTCATTTCAATAACTAATTAAATTTACAGAATAGAGTTGTAATTCATTGGATTTTGCTAGGAGTTACACCAAAAGCAGAAAGCACCCTGTACTGGACCAGTATGATGGAGGTGACTGGAAATACATGCAAGTGTAATAAATCACCTCAAAGGCTTAAAGCATGCAAAATGCAAATCTTAGCAGTTCCCTGAGGAATTATCGTTACATAGCTTTGGGGGCAGGGAGTCCAGAAGAAAAAGCAGATCCATCTGTTCCTACAATTGTTTCCAAGCAACTTTGTAACTTTCTATGAAAGGAGGATTCACCTCTACTCAAGCATTAAATATTTAACGGTATGTTGGTGGCTTCTTTAGGGATAAAACCAGTAGCAAAGAAGTCTATGCAATAGAGACATAGTGCTTTGATTGTTATCATCTAGATGTCACAGAAATACAGCTAGCTCTTAATATATTTCTCACATGGTAGAGTATATGAAAAAACATCTGTGGCTATAAGAATTGTGGTGCCATGGCTCATTAGAGGCTATAAAATCATTATTTACTTTCAGAGACATTGGAACTGCTATTTGGGAAAACTGTAAAAAGGGTATCTACCAGTTTCATATCAAAGCAACAGAAAATAGTACTAACTTAACACCTAAGTTTCATAATCAGGACAAAAAAAAAAAAAAGGTATGTATACATGAAAATAAATCAAAATTTTTAGTATCAAATAGCCTCGATCAAGATTGAGGAACATGGTTTAGAAGACAGCATTTACAGAAAGGATGCCCTTTGCAACAACCACTGTAACTTTTTTTATTTACCAGGCCTGTTTCTTCTGGAGAATAAACAGCTAACTCTTATTATGGGCTTGCTGGGAAGGAAATGACACTCTGCCGTGAGGAAATAAGACTATTATGTAAGCAAGCCTAATTAACAAATACCTTACTCAAGTCAAGAAAAGACAAGGCCCAGTTACAGCTCCTATTTGAGGAATGAGCATTCCAACTATCCTGGTCCTTGGCTATCAGAAATAATCCAAGGGAGCCCACCCATTCACAGACAAAAGTAACAAAGTCCTCCCACGTTATTCAGAACTCAGAAGATAATTGATAGAATGTATGAAATATCAGTGACAAGGCAAGAGAGACGAACTCTTTGCAGATTGTGCTGAGACTACTCAGAGCTGCTACGAATTTGCAGCTACTTTTCCTGAACAGTGTGATTGGAAGGGCTTTGGCTGCTCTGTTAAGAAACAAATGCCTTAACACATCACATGAGCTGTAATGAATTATCAGCATGCAATCATCATTCTTTTTAGCGTACCAGTTTAAGACACGTGCTGTATTGCTTACAGGAACAGAAACTCAAGACTTTTATTGAGAAGACTCAACAAAAACCATTCAATTAAGTCTTGCAAACTTCCCCAAAAGGTATTTTATAGCTGTACTATGTCCTCTGCTCTAGAACTTCAGCCATCTGCAGAGGTAAATCTGAGAACCAGGAAAAGCAAGAACACCTAGTGGATACAACCCCTGCATCTTTAAGAAGGGAAATGCCCAGAGCTAGCTAATGGCCATTCCACCTGAAAAATAAGGCAAGAAATGGGAGACGCAGTAGGTAGTGGTGTTGAATGTAACAAACTGCAGACACTTGTATCTAGCATATTACAGGTAAGAGTAACAAAAGCCAGAACTCCTCAGTAACTGATCAGTGAGCACCGATAGAGTGACATTTTGTAAAAGTTCAACCAGAAATTTTAACTGGTAAGAGAAAGAGCTATTATGGCTTATCAGAATGGGTCCCATACAACAGACCAAACTTACTATCCAATATAACAAGGACAGCAGGATGTGTTAAGCTTATTATGCGATGTTTAGGGGGAGGATCAAGGGAGGAATCAAGGCAGATAAATGAAGAACCAGGGGTAGGGAGGAAAGAGACTCCAAACGTATGTTTGCTGCCAGTCAGTACACTGCTGTGCCTGATCACTGCAGTCCCTCCTGTCTAACTACCCAAGACATTCCTAAATATTCTACCCACTAGTGAGTCCACTGCTAGTGAGCTTCTAGTTGACTAATGCAAGTAGGACGCTGGAAAAAAACCCCAAAAAATATTCCAGCCAGAAACTGGCTTAAAAGCCCTGGCTCTGGGCAGAAGGACTGTAGGCCAGGCAGAGACATGTGAATGTGAGTATGCACGAGAGTCAAGTGATGAGGGTACAGCTATAGCTGTACTAGCAAACCATGGCAGTTCACACTTTCCCTGTGCATGTGATAACGTGTACATTCATGCTTTACCTGTGGTTGTGGCCAGCTGTGCATGCACAAATGTCCCTGCAAGTCATGCCCAGCTGAACCCGGAACAGTCCAGCAGCCTCACACTGAGCAACCGGGATCCCCTGTGTGCTGCTGCCTACCACTTCTGCCAACTGCTTAATGGAAACAGGAGTACTGAAGAACAGGACTGGCTGATGCTGATAGAATAATTCAGATTGTCCAAAACCAAGTAGAGTCAATTTGGTTTGAGGGAAAGAAATAGTCAATTGGATAATTTATTTTATTCTCATAACAAAAGAGTGCTGTAATAGTGGAAAAAAATGTAACCTGAGAACAGGCAAGAATATTGGCTGATGCTTGAAAGGAGGTGAAAAAAAATTGCAATATTTTCTAATTTTTTACCCTTCAAATCAAAGCATGGAAGCATTAGAAGATCACTGAAAACACTTGGAAAATTAGTATGCAAGCAGCAATCCGAGTAAACTCATTGACTCCAAGAGTTGCCCATAAACGTTCCTGGGAACCAAACTCAGTTCATAATTGCTCACCTCAGGTTTGGATTCTAACTCATCCGATAACATTGATTCAAGTGTCCAACTCCTGCAGCTGTTCTCAGCAAGGCACAGATTTATTTTATTTATTTTTTTTTTTAGTTCAGAGAGAACAACACTCCCTGCTTATTCTCATATTTTCCTAAGTGCAAACCAGTGTGGTGGTCCTTCTGCAAGAAGCTCTGCTGCAGAAATAATTAATTTAACCTAAAACAACAAAAAAGGAAACATAAAGAAAGAGGAACTGAAAAACAAGAGCAAAGCAAAAAGAAGTGCACATGTGTTGATGCAACTGTAAAATATACCTTGAGGTATCAGTAAAACTCATTAACTGAGGTTCCTGGATTTCTATTTTCACTGAAAAAAAAAAAAAAGAACCTTCAAAAATTAATTTCACAGTGTTAAGATGTTATTTACCACATTTTCTTTGCAATCACTAATTTTTAATGGATAATTGCCTTGTTTGTTCTGGAAACTTATGGGATCAACTGCAAATCACATAAAGTATGCAAGATATGAGGAAGCTGAATTCCCAGCCCACAACACAGTGGAATTATCCAAATTATTGATAAAAGGGAGCCATATACAAACAACCTGTCAGCAGGAAACATCAGTTCTTCCTGTCAGTCCAGATATTTCACAGAATCAGAAGTTTAATTTCTTGATGAGCCCAGATAAATATAACTTATTTCACAAATACCCATATGATGCTTATGCTAAAAGGGGAACATGAGGACAAGATTTTCTTGCCTGCTGGGAAAACACTCAGACACTGCTGACCGGAGAAAAATATGAACCACATACAGTTTTTTTCCTCTTTCCAACACAACTACCAATCTATCGACCATGTTAAAAAGTAACGAGAATACTGGATCAGCTAAAAAGAGAACCTAAAAGCCTTCCTCTCACACTCCTGACAGCAGCACGAAGCTTCACTTGCCGTGGAGGGGCAAGGCACCACACACAGCAAGCGAACGCAGAGTAACTCAGCCCTCCGCACGCAGCGGGCCGGGGCCCGGCGCTGCTGCCGCGGCCACCCGCAGCCCCTGTCAGCCCGTACTCGGCAGGGCGGGCCCCGAGTGACCCACGGGGACAAGAGCCAGCGCCGCCAGGGCCGGCTGCCCACGCCCCGGCCGGGAGGAGCCCTGCGGAGGCCCGGGGAGGAACGGGGGCAGGGCGGAGCGCCGAGGCCCGGCGGGGCAGGTGCCACCGCCCCAGGGCGCGGGTCCGGCCGCAGCCGTGAGGGGCGACCCGGCAGCGGGGACAGGAAGGGCAGGAGGGCCGGGGCGTCCCCCCGAGCTCCGCGGCTCGCTGGGCTCCCGCACCCCACAGGGGTCAGCGAGTCCCGCAGGAGCGGCCGGACCGCCCCACCACCCGCCTTACCGGCATCTCCGCCGCCCGGACGTGACGAGCCCCGGCCGGAAATACCGCGCGGGCTCGGGGCGAGCGCGGGGCGGGGCCACGCTCCCGCCGCCCCGGAAAGAGAGGGCAGCCCGGTGCTCGGGTTGTTCCCGGTTCCGACGGGATCGTTACCAGGACTGCAGTTTTCAGCTGCAGCCTGATCCCTCTTCAAGTTTACCTTTTTTATATTGATCGTTACCGTACAGGTGAACCGGAGCCTTATGGAAACGTTCAATCTGCGGAGCTCCTTTTTTCCACATAAATCACCACGGAAGACACAAGATCCCAGTTTGTTGCAGCACATGTGAAACACCGGTTTCCTACTAATACTTTGTTTCTGTTTCTGCTTTGCTGTGACTTGCTGCTCTGTCTGTTCTTGCAGCTAGTGATGGAAAACTCCAGGAGTTCACTGTAGCTCACAAAAATCATATACCCAGTTAGTAATTCCAGAGACGTACACGTCTTTGCAATGTACCTAAAAAAAAAAAATATAAAATAAAATAAAATAAAAAAAAAAAATAAAGGACTGAGTAATTTAAAAAACTTGCACTTTGGTTTTAGCTCATTATCTGTACGTGACCAGGACAGAGCACCTGAAGAAGTTGGCAGCCACTGGTCTTGCCATTAGCAGCAGAATCAGTGACCTTCAGGTCCTGTAAACTTTAACTCGGTTATGGCTAGCCTGTAGCTTTGGAGCCATACGTGATTCCTGACTCCCATGCCAGCAGAGCTGCTCGTGGCACACTCCTGGTGCTGGTACTGATAGCCAGTGAAAACCCTCGTGCTATGGAAGTAACCCAAGAGCAGCTGTCAAGGCTAGCAAAATCAGGTTTCCTGAGGCTCCCTCAGAGCACAGCTTCTTCTGATCTACAGTGAACTCTGAAAAAAACTGTGGTCACTTCTTGGTAAATGGCTGTCATCTCTTGCCTTGAACTACTTTGGAATGGTTTCTTTTTTCCAGCCCCTCCAAGATGTGCAATATGGCTTCACTGCCTTTCAGAACATTTGAAAATTTGATTTGCAGCATAAAGATTCCCGTTTATCTCCCTCAGCTTTAAATGTGCAGTGAGTGGCTTAATGGAGGAGTCATACTGACAGCCTAGTGCTTCAGCAAAAAGACTATTGACCAGCTACCTGCTGGAGCCACCTGGTAACTCCATAAAGTCTGCAAGCAAGTTAGATGCATGTCTTTTTCTGAGGTAATTATCCCATCAGCTTGCAGGCTTTGCATTAATACTAACAAAAGCCTGCACTGTGAAATCAATTTTCAGTCAAGCTGAAGCACATTTCTGTTGTACAAGGCAGGGAAAAGTGATTCAACACCCAGAATCAACAGCCTCAGAGACTGGGCTGCCTCAGTGCCATACTGGCCCCGAGGATGGATTCTATCAGGGAACCTATGAAGTCTGGCATTTATCATATTGGACAACTCAGCCACAGTTGTGGTGGCCTGAAGCTTTAGACAGATTCATTTATTTAAGTTTACAAAACTGAAAGTAATAGCTTCCGAGACTGATTTTTTTTAACACAATCCCAAAAAGCCGGAGTTCATTAAATGGCCATGCAGCAGTAACAGTAAAAGACCATTTCACTGTACTGTGGAAATATACTGAGGAATATATTCAGTGCAGGTAACTTGGTTTGCAGCTGCAGTGTAAGCTGCAGATTGAGCTCTCTGGATGGCTGTGAACTGCCAGCCCTTTGACAAGCTCAGGGACCTGTGGCCCAGCCAGGTGATCAGACTCTCAGAGACACAGCAGGAGCCAAGGACCCCCAAATGTTCCCATGCTTAGACTGTGAGGGTATAAAAACCCAGGTTTTTGTTCGGGATCCCAGCTCAAGCTGTTTAGTTATTTCATCAAGACTGAATTATTTTAAGGATTGGGACCAGTGAGACTCTGCTATGGGAAACCTGGCATTCAGATGGTAAAGAAACCTTTTCTGACTGTGTGACTGTGGGGGTGTGTGGGGAGTCTGGCTCACCGGGGCTGCTCACTGGGAAGGGATTTCGGTCCCAGCTTAGATGGGTGAGAACGTGACTGCCAGAGTAGCTCCTGGGTGGTCAGACAGGAAAGATCCCCTAACACAGCATGCCATTTTGTTACTGATCCAATACAATCCAATAAAGGTAACAATAAATGCAGAACTACTAACTTGATAAACCAACTTTTCTTGATGCTACTTTGGTAATCCAAAGGAACTGAATCATAAAGCTTGATGCTGTTTTACATTAAGATACTCAGTAATCTTGGAAGTCCTTTGACTCATCACCAGCTCAACAATAGGGAGTAATTGAGTAGATATTAAAATATGGAGACATGTAGGCGCATAAGTTTCTTTCATTTGCATCCTTCTAGGCCAGATGAGTTTGGCTGCTTTCAGAACTTGCATCTTGACTGCCTGGGGAATTTTGGTGGAATCCACAGTGGGAGTAGCACAGCACTTACCTGAGTTGTTTATGCTGGTTCAAATCACTTGTGCAGGTGTGTGAAGCAGCACCAGTCCCTGATGAGAGAACTGGATGGGAATTTCCTGTAGTCTTACTTTCATAGCAACATCTGCCTCTACAGGCTCCTTCTCTCCAGTCAAGGGGAAATGGAAGACACATTTCCCGAAGGACCAGATTCAAGAAAAGATAAGTGATGCTGTTTTTTCACCCCTGCTGTGAGACAGCAAAAACAGCTAGTCATGGAGTAAAGGGAGAGAGCTGGTTTAGATTTGATTGCTAATGAATCTGGTTATAATGTATGCCTACTCCATATACAGAGTCTAGACTTCATTTCTATTAGCCCATCTTTTATTATTTTTTTGTGTACATTTCTGAACACTCAGAAATAAAGTTGTTATAGAAACTGTGTCCATTATTCCAAGATACTGGCAGTACTGAATTTTATTTCGATAAATTGTTTTCTAATTATAAAAATGTATGCAATTATCAGCACTTTGTTGTTCAGCCTTTACAGCATCAGCATGTAACACTTTTAAATTCTCTCAAAACTGTATGCACAGAAGTCACCCTTACAAACATACAGAGGATGTTGGTACGGGTGTTAAAGAAGCGCGTGAGATTTAAGAAACTGAGATTAGTAAGATTTGGAGCATTTTCTCCCGTATTCCCCAGGCTCGCACCCTGGGGTTCTGTCACATGTCGGACTCTGCCGCGCTCCACCTTTCCTGCGTAGTCAGCGCGTTTCCCGCGGCAGCGGCAGGAATGCTGCTGAGGTAATTTTGCTGGCTCAAAGACGTACGTGCGGTCCCATACGGGCTTCGGCGCCGCCGCCACCAGACACCGTTCCCAAGTTTTCCCAAACACCGGGAGCGCAGGGCAGGCGCGCCCGCCGGGGGCCGTCCTGCGCCTGCCCCCCCGGCAGCGGCCGGCACTCCCACGGTGGAGCCCGCAGGGAATGTGGTCCGAGGCCGCGCCCCGGGCAGGAGCCTCCGCCGCACTGCGTTGGGAGCCGCCGGAGGGGCGGGGAGCGGGGGGGCCGCGCCGCCGGCACGGGGGGGGAACGGCCAACGTCCCCCGCGGGGCGGGCGCGCCGGCCCCGCCTCCCAGTCCACCGCCGGCACGTTCCATTTTCCCCGCGGGGTGAACCCTCCTCCCTCCGCCGCGGCGGCTCTGGCCTCCCCGCAGAAACAGAGCGCGGCGCCGACCGTGTCTTCCTTCACACACTGCCCTCAGCGCTCGGTGGTCCGGATCACATCTCCCCGCCTTGCCGGGCAGTGGTAGCGGCCGCTCCGCCCCTTCGACTCCCCCCTCGGCGGCGGCGCGGGTGGTGCGTCCCGGCAGCAGGCGCGTCCCGGCCGGCGCCCGCCCCCCCGCGCCGTGTCATTGATGTTGTTGTTTGTGTCGCAGGAGCCGCAGGCCAGGCCGGGGCCGCCGCCCGGGGCCGCCGCCGCGGGGCTGGGGCCGGCGCCAGGGATGTCGGTGTGCGGGGAGGCGGTGGGCGCCGGCTCCCTGCCCAGCGAGCTGGTGGTCCACATTTTCTCCTTCCTGGCGGCCCCCGACCGGCTGCGGGCCTCGGCCGCCTGCTCGCACTGGCGGGAGTGCCTCTTCTACCCGGCGCTCTGGCCGCGCCTCCGCCTCAGCCTCCGCGTCTCGCCCGCCGAGCGCCCGCGCCTCGAGTTCCTCATGCGCAAGTGCGGCTGGTTCGTCCGTGAGCTCCGCGTACAGTTCGCCGCCGACAACTACCCCACCGGCGGCGGCGGCGGGGCGGCGGGCGAGGGCGCCGCGGTGGCGGGGGACGGGGAGGCGCCGCCGCCGCTGAGCCCGCGCTGGCTCGACCTGCTGAGGACTTACCTGGAGCTGGTGCTGTGCGTCCTGAGCAGCGTCCGCAACAACAGGTACCGACGGGGGAGCGGCGGTGCCGGGCGTGGGAGCAGACGGAGCCCCCCGAGCCGCGCGGGGCCCGGTCCAGCCGTCCCGCCGGTTTCTGCGGGCGGAAACAACGCCCGAGCCGGCGCCGGCCGGTTCGTGCTGGGGCTGCGCTCGGAGCCGCTCTGTGTGTGTGTGTGAGAGTCTGTGAGCTGGGCAGAAACGGGGATGCGCCGCTTCAAACTACCAAATTTTCATCATATAGTGTAGCTTGAGGAGGAATATAAACGCTCAGACGTCCAGTTGGCGAGCGGCTGGTCGATACGCAAAACAAATACAGCTGCAGTAATAAAAAGTTCTTCGTCTTTTGGGTGGAAGCAGGCAATGCAGCTCGAACGGAGCAAGTGAGAGCCAGGAGTCTGAATTTACTGAATAACAAGACAGCTTTCTCATTTAAAATAAGCCTTGTGTATGCTTGCAAAAAAGTATGTCGTGAGAAACTAGTAAGGGGGAGTTAAAATTACAGCTCTGGTGCGCTGAATTACTACCCCAACAAAATACCTTCATCTTAACAGCAGTGAGGTTTTTCGCTGTAGAAAAGCTGAGCTTTCATGCCACCTCTCGTCTTACCTGCTTATCTGAGGTTCGAGGAGGTTTTATGTTCTTTTGTTTATTGAAAAAAATGTTCA